GCGGGTGGTGAAAGGTTGCACCTGAGGCAGAACAAAGGAGATAGAAGTTTATTGAATACACAGCATGGGAGTGGTGGGCAGGACAGCAAAGGAGAGATGGTCTGCCAGAAGGCAGTGGGTGGGGGCTACTTTTTAAAGGGGAGGTGAGGAGGTATGGGGATGGATGGAATTTCCCCTTTTTTGGCACCGGTGCCTGGTTGTGAGTAGCCTATTGTTTAGTTAGGGCCTGTGGATATTTTGTGGTGGGTCTCCTGATGTCTGTTTCCAGCAAGGGAGTCGCTGTGGGCCCTTTTACCTTGATCATGTCTCCATTGCTCAAGCCTGTTGTCTAAAAGCAACCTCTACATTCATCACCCATTTTGAGATCAGTCACTCTATCTTTGGGTCTTTGGTGCTAACAAAAGTAAAATTCCACTCTCAGTAGTCATGCTGGTGTTTTTCATGCAACTTAATCACATTGGAGTGGGCCTGGTTGCCAGAACCACTTGTGTGAATACCAAGGCACTGAGAAAGTGTGTACTGCTCTAGGTTCAACTGTCTGCACCTCCTCTCACCTTTATCTCTCAACTGTGCTGCTAATATTGGTTTTTCGGAGCTTAGACTGTGTGTAGGGGGCCTGGGAGGAGGTCTAGAGTCGTCAGCACCCTGCCTGATTCTATTAGCTGGAAGGTGTCCTTCCTTTGGAATGCAGAAACCACAGAACCAGGGTGGAGATCCCTCCAAAAATGGGGATGATTTCTGGAATGGGGAGCGTTTTTATTTTTTTATTTTATTTTATTTTTAATGATTTTATTTTTTTTTAAGATTTTTTTATTTATTTGACAGAGAGAGACACAGCGAGAGAGGGAACACAAGCAGGGGGAGTGGGAGAGGGAGAAGCAGTCTTCCAGCTGCGCAGGGAGCCCGATGTGGGGCTCGATCCCAGGACCCTAGGATCATGATCCGAGCCGAAGGCAGACGCCTAATGACTGAGCCACCCAGGCGCCCCTGGGGAGTGTTTTTAAAACTGAAAATCTCTACTGTCCCCAAACCTAGAGGCCAGGATTGCTAAGACTAGTTGTATCAGTTTTCCCCTTAGTCTCCTGAATGGGTAAATCTGTTACAGGATTCAACACTATGGGTAACTGAGATAGGAGAGAATAGAAGGGGGTGGGGAGCTTTTTTTTTTTTTTAAAGATTTTGTTTATTTGACAGAGAGAGATACACAGCGAGAGAGAGAACACAAGCAGGGGGAGTGGGAGAGGGAGAAGCAGGCTTCCCGCGGAGCAGGGAGCCCGATGCAGGGCTCTGTCCCAGGACCCTGGGATCATGACCTGAGCCGAAGGCAGACGCCTAACGACTGAGCCAGCCAGGCGCCACTAAGGAACTTTTTTTTTTTTAAGTGAAGTGAAAGTTTATTAAGTGAAGGTGAGAACAGAAAGGAAAGAAAAAAAGCTCTCTAGAGTGAGAGAGGTCCTGAATGGGTTGCCCAGGGGTGGGGAACTTTTAAATGTTTTCCTTTTTATGTTCCTTATCCTCAAGAACATACAGTTTTTATATAGTTATAGTTCTGGCCTAATTCGTTTTACATTCTGCTTTTTTATTTTTATTTTTTTAAATTTTTTAAAAAGATTTTATTTAGGGCACCTGGGTGGCTCAGTCATTAAGCGTCTGCCTTTGGCTCAGGTCATGATCCCGGGGGCCTGCTTCTCCCTCTCCCTCTGCCTGCTCTTCTCCCTGCTTGTGCTCTCTCTCTCTCACTCTGCCAAATAAATAAATAAAATCTTAAAGAAAGAAAAAAGATTTTATTTTTTTACTTGAGAGAGAGAGAGTGAGCACAGGTGGGAGGCAGAGAGAGAGGGAGAAGCAAACTCCCTGCTGAATAGTGAGCCCGATGCAGGGCTTGATCCCTGGATCCTGGGAACATGACTCGAGCTTAACCGACTGAGCCACCCAGGCACCTCTATATTCTGCCTTTTTTTTTTTTAAGATTTTATTTATTTATTTATTAAAGAGAGAGAGAATGAACAATGGGGAGGGGCAGAGGGGGAGAGAGAGAGAGAAGCAGACTCCCTGCCAAGCAGGAAGCCTGTTGCAGGGCTCGATCCCAGGACCTGGAGATCATGACCTGAGCCAAAGGCAGATGCATAACTGTCTGAGCCACCCAGGTACCCCTGTATTCTGCTTTTTAAAAGATTTTATTTATTTGAGAGAGAGAGTGCGAGGGCAGGGAGGGTGCAGGCAGGGAGCAGAGGGGGAGGGAGAGTGAGGGGAATGAATCTCCAGCAAATTCCACACTGAGCACATGGAGCCCAGCGAGGGGCTGGATCCCAGGACCCTGAGATCATGACCTGAGCCAAAACCAAGAGTTAGACACTTAACTGACTGAGCCATCCAGGCACCCCTGTATTCTGCTTTTAAAGTAGTAATCTATTATAAGCTTGTGGCGGAAATGGGGTTGCATGGTTTTTGTTTGTTTTAAGTAGGCTCCACACTGGGTGTGGAGGCCAGTGTGCAGTTTGAACTCACGACCCTGAGATTGAGACCTGAGCTGAGATCAAGAGTTGGAAGTTTATTTTTTTATTATTTATTTTTTTGAAAGATTTTATTTACTTATTTGACAGAGAGAGAGACAGCGAGAGAGGGAACACAAGCAGGGGGAGTGGGAGAGGGAGAAGCAGGCTTTCTGCTGAGCAGAAAGCCCGATGTGGGGCTCGATCCCAGGACCCTGGGATCATGACCCTAGCTGAAGGCAGATGCTTAACGACTGAGCCACCCAGGCACCCCACCACATTTTATTTCTTTTTTTTCCTTTAAAAAAAATTTTTTTAGGGGACGCCTGGGTGGCTCAGTCGTTAAGCATCTGCCTTTGGCTCAGGTGATGATCCCAGGGTCCTGGGATCGAGCCCCTCATCGGGCTCCCTGCTCCGCGGGAAGCCTGCTTCTCCTTCTCCCACTCCCCCTGCTTGTGTCCCCTCTCTTGGTGTGTCTCTCTCTGTCAAATAAATAAAATCTTGAAAAAAAAAATTTTTTTTAAAGATTTTATTTATTTGAGAGAGAGAGAGCACAAATGGAGAGGAGGGGCAGAGGGAAAGGGAGAAGCCAACTCCCCGCTGAGCAGGGAGCCCCACGTGGGGCTCGATCCCAGGACCCTGAGATCATGACCTGAGCTGAAGTCAGATGCTTAACTGATTGAGTCACCCAGGCATCCCTCAAACTTCATAATTTTTATTTTTATTTTTTATTATTTTTTTTTAAAGATTTTTTATTTATTCATTTGACACAGAGAGAGAGAGAGAGAGAGCATGAGCAGGGAGAGAGGCAGAGGGCGAGGGAGAAGCAGGCTCCCCGCTGAGCCAGAAGCCCAATGTGGGGCTTGATCCCAGGATCCTGGGATCATGACCTGAGCCAAAGGCAGATGATTAACCATCTGAGCCACCCAGATGCCCCAAACTTTATAATTTTTAATATAACTACCTTCTTTTTCATGGAGTTGTGTTATCATACTTTACTATTCATATTTCTGTTGTTGGATGTGTTTAATCTTTCCTTTTTTAAAAAATTTAAATTCAATTAGCAATAATCTTTCCATTTTTTTTTAAAGATTGTAAATACAGCAAAAACATATTTCATCTCTATAGCTTGACCTGTCTTTTGAAATATTTCCCTAAGGTAAATCCTGAAATGAGCAATCACAGTTAAAGACTGTGAATACAGCTTTTAAGACATCTTTCTAGGGGCGCCTGGGTGGCTCAGTTGGTTAAGCGACTGCCTTCAGCTCAGGTCATGATCTCAGGGTCCTGGGATCGAGCACCGCATTGGGCTCTCTGCTCGGCGGGAAGCCTGCTTCTCCCTCTGACCCTCTCCCTGCTTGTGTTCCCTCTCTCGCTGTCTCTCTCTCTCTGTCAAATAAATAAATAAATAAATCTTAAAAAAAAAAAAGACATCTTTCTAAATGATTTTCTGAAGAGATGATAGCATAATTACTTCCATCAGCAAGGAATGAGTATATGAGTTTTACTTCTACACTGGCAGCTTTGGGTATCAGTGTCACCATATTTGCATGTTTTACTATTAAGTGGAAATAAAGAGAGAAGCTTTTTCCTGGGATGCAAGGATACGCATGTTCCCTATTTTCTACCTGTGGTATCATAAAAAATATATTTTTTTATATAAAAATTCCTGGCACAGAGCCTCAAGAATCCTTGGATTTCCTGAATAATAGAAGTGTCTTTTGTTATTCATAACAAACCTCTTTGGACCTTCTGAATTTATGGTAATGAAATGACTCATGTGGACTCTTGGTTGCAAGGGACTGGCTGGCTGCTCCAGAAGAACAAAGCTTGTGATTAGAGGGTTGGAACTTTCAGCCCTACTTCCCTCAGGGCAGGAGAGGGGAACCAGAGATTGAGTTCAGTCCTGTGGCCAGTGATTCAATCAGTCATGCCTCGGTAATGAAACCCCCATAAAAACTCCAGACAGTAAGGCTCAGAGGATCCTCCAGGTTGGTGAACTCATGGATGCGCTGGGCAGGTGGCATGCCTAGATTCACAAAGACAGGACATGGAAACTTTGTGCCCATCCCCTCCTCAGGCCTCGCCCTATGCATCTCTTCCATTTGGCTGTTCCAGAATTGTATCCTTTATAATAAAACTGTAATAGTGTAGTGCTTTCAGCGAGTTCTGAGAGTCATTTAGGTGAATTATTGAACCTTAGGGGGCTGTGGGAAGTCCAAAATTTGTAGCCAGCTGGGCGAAAGTACTGGAGGCTGGTTTGTGACACCTGGGCCTTGTAGCTGACATCTGAAGTGGGGTTAGTCTTGTGGGACTGAGCCCCTTAATCTGCAGGATTTGACTAATTCACGGTAGTTAATGTCAGAATTGTTGATTGTAGTACATTGGTGTCACAGAATTGATGTTGGAACATACAACTCTTTCCCACTTTTTCTTTCAAGTGGGATTGAAGTCCTTGCTGTTTCTCCTGAGTATACCTTCCTTCCTTCCACCACCACCAATTTTTAGGGGGTGGCCAGGTTCTATAGGTCACGGAAAAAGCACTTGATCACCACTCAGACAGAGCACAAATGTGTTTTGGATTCCTGCCGTTCACTGGAAGCTGAGGGCTTTCAGGTCACATACCTCCCGGTGAAGAAGAGTGGGATCATCGACCTGAAGGTAGGAGTGGCTACTGGTAGGAGGGGCAAAATAGGAGGGGCTTGACTTCAGCCTGTAATTCTGTCTTCAGCCTCAGCTGGAGCTTTGAAGGACTAGATCTAATGGTGAGGGGGAGCTTAGAGAAATAGGCCTGGGAGAGAAGCTGAGCATATGTTCCCCCTGAGTGTGCACTATCTTCTTTTTCTCTGGAGGAGTTTTTCTCAGCTTTGTCAGTGCTTCCTGGTTTGTCTGAGGGCCACTGGGTGTGTGTGCAGGATGCTAGGGATTCAACACTCACCATGGAAAAGCTCTGGCTTCCTCCTCCCCTGTACTGATGTTTCTCATCCCTCTAAAGAGGAGGTGTAGTTTTTGTGAAGAATATTTCCTTTGTGGCCCATATCCTTATATGTATATTTTGAGTAGGGAGTTCACGCATCTTGTTCACCAGATTTTGGATACCAGCATCCCTAGTCAAATCCTAAGATACAATTTGTGGACAGAGCCGTGTTATATGCAAGTAGAGATCATTTTACTTCATTTCCAACCTGGATGCCTTTATTTATTTATTTTTTTCTTGCCCAATTGCCTGGCAGGAGCTTCTAGTACAAAGTTGAATAGAAGTGGTGAGAACAGGGCGCCTGGGTGGCTCAGTCGGTTGGGCGACTGCCTTCGGCTCAGGTCATGATCCCAGGGTCCTGGGATCGAGTCCCGCATCGGGCTCCCTGCT